GCTGACCCTACACAGACCATTTTCGCTGAGCAGTACGTATCCAAGTTACCTTGGCACGGAAAACCGACCACTACACTGCTCAACTCAAAAGGCTGTCCCTACACAGATTTACCCCCCAAGAATCATATACCTTATGCCGGCCTTGGCAGTATGCCGCACCGGAATGGTTTTGAAGGGCGGGTTGCTGTTCTCACATCAATGCGAAGCCTTGGGAATGACCGACTGCGCCTGTCGCTGATTGCGCCTCCCGCTTACTCAGACCATGCCATGCCTTAGCCAGTGGAATTTAAAGGATTAGGCGCGGTAAGCAGGAGAGGTCATTCCCTCTACCCTCTGGCCTCCGATAGGAGCGCCAGCGAACCCAACTAAGTTGTGATGAAGATTGAAGATCTCGAAGTTCTCGGAGCTCGGGAAAAGTCTCGAAGTCCACATCGGGCCCAGGGTAGATGTTCTGGAGGGTCTCGAAGTCCACATCGGGCCGAGGGCTAGAAGTTCTAGAGGGTCTCGAAGTCCTCTTCGGGCCGAGGAATAGAAGTTCTAGAGGGTCTCGAAGTCCTAACAGTCGGCCTGGTCGACACCGAGACGGTCCCGCTGACTGGGAGATCAAGAAGGTCTAGAGGTCCAAGAAGTCTAGAAGATCTAGAGGTTCTGGACGGGTAGAGCTTCGTTACCAAAGGTAACACCTGTAGGGAATGACCCTCCACCTCGGAGCTCTTTGGCATGCAACGAAAGTATCCGGATATTCTCCGGCACGGTTAACCGACCACTTTGCTACATACCGCTAGGACCGAAGAAGGAAGGTACTGATGCCTTGCCGCCGAAGGGTCTTATTCAAAGACACCCGTAAAGGAAATCGGGAGAAAACTCTATACAAAATTATTCGACGCTCTCTAGCGGGAACCGTAGAAGCTCGTCCCCAGGTGCGCAACTGCACCATCGTGCATGTGCGCAGCCAGCGCGCGCTGACTGCTCACCACGAATCTATATAAGGATGGATCGTCCATCTCACGGAACAAAGAGCTCCGCTCACCACGGCCGCGAGCTAACGCTGAGGACAACTTTCAGTTCCTACACTCGCTGGAGATGTTGTTGCTGGGTAATCAAAGTGGCCCTGTCGCGTAAGCGAAACCGCAACACTACCTTAACCTTGCTTTAGTACTCGGTACTTCTTACTTCTCGCACAAAACGTTATTTTAAGGTGACACAGGACTGAAACCTAAAAATTTGGGCAAAAAAACAGATATTTCAAGTTTAAAACCATAATTTGTATTAAATCACAAAATGCTTTCCACAGGAATTTAAGATAGTTCATTGCGGTTCTTTTGAGGTATAGTTTGTTTATGATTGAATGTATCTGTGTGCGCAAAAAGCTTTTTAAAGTTTCATAAAGTTCTAAAATTTTAAATAGCTTCCTGCGCCCGCAGATACATGTAAACATAGACAAACTATACCTTAAAAGAACCGCAATACCGTAACTAAAATTGCTATGGAAAGCGTTTTTTAAAATAGATTTGCATTTAGATTTTAAACGTGAAAAAACAAAAAAAAAAATCCTTTTCCGGACAAACATTCTTACTTTCTTCCTATTATTATTAATCTCGCCACGGCGTTAGGCCCTTGTGCCTTTACGCTCGACTCCTTGCGTTAGGCCCTGGTGCCTTTGACCAGTCGTCACCCATTCTATTTCCACCCTTCACCCACCAGCTCCCTACCAAAGCCGCTCGTTCATCGGCGCAGGACTGAGAGGACTTACTGCTTCAGTCCTCTCAGTAAACGTTTATAGCGTGCTGGTTATCCCGCTTCTCATTTGAACATCGAAATCAAGCAGCGCTGAGTTGGGTTAATTGTTGGATGGGAGACCGGCTCTCAATTTTGTACCAATCACTATAAGGATAGACCGCGCGTCTCGCGGCACACAGAGCTCCGCTCACCTCAGCGCGAGTTAGTGTCCGGGACAATTTGCGGCTCCTTCCCTCAATGTTGATGTGGGCTCCGGGTAGACAAAGGCGTAATGGGCCCTCTGAGTGTGCAACCTTGCAACACTGCCTTAACTTTGACTTAAGACTCTGTGCTTCTTATCGCTTATAACTTTAAAACCGTTAGAGATACGGCTCTGAAAATTAAATTTTAGTGCTTTAGCACTCTACTCTTGAGAGACGAACCGATTGATGTATAAAAACTCTAAATTCAATAGACTCAATCCCAGCTTCCCTCTTACAAAAACGAAAAACCATAACAAAGAATTTAAACCGCCATTTGGGATAAACGCACTTACTTTGGTCGAAATCTGGATGGGGAACCACCCAACTGGCACGCCCACCAGTGCACAGTGGTCTCCCGGCTGGAAGGATCTCCACTTTTAACTGCATGAGATATCTAAGTTCTTTCTCCTCTTTAATCTGACTTAAAGTGAAGTTAGGAGTAAGTTGGAATTAGTTATAAGTGAGTTTAAATGTTAGTCTTTGTGCACTGAAACATCAGTTTAAGTATACAAAATTAAACTTAAAGAGTACTTTTATTGTAGAAAACTACAGTTTAACTGTAGAAAAAGTACCAGTTATTTCGATCAAACTGTAGTTTTCCAACAGTTAGCCACGGATCATGTTTTAGCTTGGCCAGTTGAAACCCACTTCTTCCACACTTTTACTACAGTTTTAATACAGTTAACTAACTCTCTCAATCACACTTTTACTGCAATCACATTCTATGGTCGTGATGACAGTAAATATTGCACTTTGACCACTTCTTTTTCTAGCCTTCGTCTATGCTAAGTGTTGGAGATATGCAGCAGTATTGACCGCAATTCTACTGCAGTTATATTTTTTAGTTGCCAGTGAAGTATTTTTGTAAAAGTATTAGTGAATGAGATTGCACTTTTCGATCCAATAAAACAACAAAATGATAGAATTGTTTTAGCCTGCTTTATTCAGAACTTCCTTGTACAAAAGCCACAAAAATAAAACCAGACTGTGATGAGAGAATTCTTGGTGAATCATTAGTAAACCTCTTCATGTCTATTGCCTCAAACAATTTTGTCAAGACCTGAAAATAAATTTAGAAAAAGTGAAAATAGTAATGTGTTTATCTTGACAGCAATTTCATTTAAAATAAGCAATATGCTTAAGTTCCTTACATTATAACCATTTACTCAAACTTGTAGTCCAACTTGTTGCACCATAAGTTAACTTAAGTCAGCCTGCCCCGCAGTGATCGGCGATGGCAAATATATTCCAAAGTTTGATGTTGCAATTGAAGATAACATCAAATTCTGACAATAAAAAAGATAAACAGATAATTACACTGATAAACCAAGTGTTCAACTGCTCAACACTTGTAAGTGTTCAACCGCAAGCTCAATACTTGCAAGTGTACAATTCAGTAGTAGCACAGTTGCAAGTGTTCAACTCGGTATTTGTGCACTTGCAAGTGTGCAACTCCTCTGTTAAACACTTCCCACACAGTAAGCGCCCGATATAGAGAAGTGTACAACAGGAGAGTTGAACACTTACAAGTGCACAAATACCGAGTTTAACACTTGCAAGTGCACTACTACTGAATTGAACACTTGCAAGTATTAAACTTGCGGTTGCACACTTACAGGTGTTGAGCAGTTGAACACTTGGTTTATCAGTGTAGCAATGGAATAAACAACCAAACAGCAATATTATCAAGCATCTTGGAACTCACCTCGCACCAGTAGCAAGATCGAACCAGGGTGATAAGTGTGAGCCGGAGACGTTAGATTGTGAAACCATCAATTGCATATTTCTAAATAACAAAACAACAACAAAATAATATTATTTTATAGAAAGAAACCAAACACTACATCACTACAAATTGCTTCATAATTGAAAGAGTGGTGTGGATTGCTTACTTTCAGATGGCGAATGTAAACAAAGACATCAACACATGTATAGGTTATGACCGTGAGAGTCAATGTTACAAGAAGATGCTGCCGACTCGGTTCTGGTTAGATCTAAACCAAAACAAAGAAGACATTAAAATACAATTAATATTAATTTGAGTTCCTTCACTCACTTTAGATTTGTACAGAGAGTAATGTGGAAACTTACTCTCTGATATCTTGTAGGCAACTTGGCCAGGCACATCGACTTTTACCCGTCACACTCACACCGCAAGTTCGCAATATTCGAAGGTACGTTAACTGAAAGCAAGAGCTAGATTTAAAACACTATCACTAGTGGACATTCAAAGTATTTCGTTAAAAAAAATCTTGAATTTCAGTCTGCGATGCGACTGAGTGCGGTGCAGAGGTGCGGACAATAACACAAGCAGAAGACTGTTGCTCGCGGGCGCCATCTTGATTAATTTCGCCACTCATCTGTCCGACCTGAGTTGTTTGGTTCGAGCCTGGGGGTGTTCTAACCTGTTTTCTAGACTTCTGAAGTCTTGCTGGAAATGAAAATTGAATGTATCCTTTCTTTTTTACGCATAGTTCTTCATTCAGTTTACAAATTAAAAATTGGCTGCAATTACGTTTCTCAAGCTAGGTATGGTGGGCCTTGGACAGACTTGGAACATTCAGATGCACACAGCTGTGACCACTGTAGATGATGAAAGTGACTTGTGTTTGAATAATGGTAGCTACCATGATATTTGAAGTAAGTTTAAAAGTGTTAGGTGTGAGTGTGTCTTTTGGGTGTGGATTTGAGAATTCTGATGTTTTAATGTTGTGTTCCAGAGTTCTTTGAAGCCCATGATGACCCAACGCAGAATTCAAAGGCAATGGATTTAAAGGGTAAGATAATCAGAAGTTTAGTAAGTTCATTTATTTTCTAAAAGTCCTATTTAAAATAAACAATGAAATAGTCATAATTTCTTCAGGCTTTTCCTTCCTAGCTTCAATTGTCCTCCATCTCACTTTCACTCGTATTCACGTACTACAAATAAAAGAACCAAAATTAAATAAATTAACCCTTTACGCTTAACTACATGCAATATACGGCAATAAATGAATAAATACCTCTTGTTCTGGAGGTAATTTTGCCTTCTCTCCCAAGAATGAATTCACATGTGATCCAAATGCCCCTTCTGATGTGTGAGGAAACCTTTCCAAAACAAAATCTTGAAAGCAAAGTAAAGTACAGATTAATAGAGAGTGAAACAGTTAGAGAACTAGCAGAGATTTTATAAATTCCTTACTATGAATGTCTTGCATCTTCTGGTACTTTTTCAATGCGGGTTTGGCAACTTTGTTCCTCACTTGTCCAGCATATGTGCTTCTGATAAGCCGCCGTCTAGAGAAGGCTTCCTTGAGCAAAATACCCACCATTCTACCCGGTGACGGGGCAAGCCTGGCCATGTTCCAGGCAGTCTTCTCAACCAGCAGAGACCTGCCAACTTGCACCTGGAAAAACACAGCAAGATTAGTACCAAAAAGATAAGTAATAAAATGCATTTTACCATGAAATTCTTACATTTTTAGACTGACTTGAGTCTTCAACTCTTTCCTCTGTAGTTCGCCGGGGGGTCTTCTGAACTGCTTCCCTCACCGCAGCGGTCAGCATGTTCTGAAACGCTAACATCACAGACATTAGTCAAATGTTATGTTCAAATAGAACTCGCTTCCAACTGAAATGGTTACCTGGTGAGTGAATGTCTGGCGTAGCACTAGGCGAAGTATTTCTGGTGGGATTGCAGTCCTTCTCCTTCGGGTGTTTCATTAACCGTCTTAGAAATTCCTCATCATCTGGTACAGAAAATCAGCACAATAAGGAAAGGCAGCCGACCAGTTAAATGAAGTGAGCGCACATGAGAATTAATTCCAAAGCTTCAATCAACAAATTAAGGTTTTAAAGGATGACAGGATATATACCAGTTAGTATAATAGAATTTAAAAGCTTACCACTGACTTCGTGGATACAACCATCGTACACATTCCAACCCTTTTTTGGCTTAGGGGCCTGCCGCCACTCAACTACATAACTTGGCTCCTTTTCTTCCGGGTCATATCCTTGAACCCATTCAATAGGCACAGTATGGGTATAACTATGCTCTTCACCGGGTGGGGTAAGTTCAGACAACCACTCTATGAGAGCAAACTGTTCCCGCGGTTGGCGACCGTTGGCTGATCTGAACTTTGATGTCATCCTCAAAGTGTTGACAGGCAACGTTGATCACCGAAGTGCACCATTGAACGGGATTATCGATCCTGACCTGGGCGAGCTACTAGCTGACGAGCAGCACGAGGGACTTAGGGGCAGCGAGGGCAGCAGCCTGGGCACAGCTGAGCAGGTGGAAGCGACCTGGGCGGGCTACACGAGGAGCACGGGGGTCGCGGAGGGCAGCGAGAGCAGCAGCCTGGGCACAGCTGAGCGGTGGCAACACAAGCGACGTCACGAGGAGAACTGGAGTAACAGCTGATGAGGTCGTCAGACAGTATGACAGCACGCAAGCGGCACTCTAGTCGAACTGAAGTGACAGTGCAGAGGGGGGCTGTTACTTATACCCCGACCCACCACCCACCTGATGGCTGTCTGCATCTGGGCAGGGATAGGCTGGTCATTAAGGGACTGTGTTTCTCACCTAACAATTATTCTCTGCCTGGCTTCTGCTAGCCAACTCTCAAGCCTTCTTGCATTGCAGTGTGCTTTTATCTTCTTTTTTTTTTCAGTTTCTTCCCTGTCTCAAAGCTTGCATCAGTCGACATCATGGATTCAGCAAGAGAGGAACTGTTCACCCAAGAACAAGAATTAGAAGACTCAAAATATGAATTTAATGAAGATTGGATGGAATCTTTCAGGGAAGAGCTTTCCGCCCAACAATTAGAAGATTCCGTGTATGCTTTTCAGGTATTGATTACCATGTGCTTGCATTGCAGTAACTGTTGCATCATAGATTTCTATTTCTCTCATTTTATTTTTGTATGCAGAATGAAGATTTGCACAAAAAGGTTGCTGGACTGAAAAACTTGGTGCGCCATTTGGGTTGGCATTGTTTTGTGTACAGGAGAGCATTAGCAAAGCTTCCAAATGGTATGGCGACTTTAGATAAGACTGAGAGAGAAGTTTTAAATGAGCAAACCCCTCCATGTAGCTCTTGTGAGAAGGATGAGCTTCTACTCCCAATACAACAATTGAAGAGTAGCATACGCAAGGTGTGTGTTATTTAAAATTTTGAAGTAAAATAGTTTTTATTTGTGCTGTACTACTTTTCAGTTTTGAAACCTATTGGTTAATTTTATTTTCAGAGGAAGAGGGACGATGAATGTGACTGATTATATTTGAAAGTATAAATGTATGATATAGATTTAAGGAAATGTCTTTGGCTCTAAAATTTTGGACGCATTTAATAAATTTGAATCAGAATATACTGGATTTACTTGAAAGCTCCCTTGGCTCCCGCATGATTTTGATCTTGGTCCGACTAAAGCAGATCGTAAACTTGAGTTACTCATTTGAGTTCTCCTCTAATAATTACCCCCCTGCAACAAAGATGCCTTTTAATGACTTTAAATTAAAATGCTTGGTGAGCCAAGACATTCTTTTGAAGACTATATGAATTAGCAGTGTTCAATACCACAGCTGTTACTCTTCTTCAAAAGCTAGGAAATCCGAATGCTTGAAATAACAGAATAAATATATGGAAGGTGGACTAGTACTAGTTCAGCACAATGATGTAGATATTAGTATTGTTGGATTGAAATTCAATTATTTATTAACAGTAATAAGTTTCTTATCACAGTTGTAGATGCACACATACATAGCGATTTTTCCATCAAGCACAAAGACATTTCTCACTTACTCCTGCCATTGGTTTGAGTCACTTTAAGACCCGGACATGAACTGAGATAAAATTTTATAAAATTAACTTGACTTAGATCTACCATTTCTTTTAAAAACACTGGTACTGTACTACATACATTATGTCAAAAAGCTAAGTTTTGGGTCAAGAGAAGTAAAGAAAACTGTAAAAATATAAATACAAGTAAGTAATAGAGCTTTACAGAAATGTGAACAAGCTCAGCCAAAAATGCACAGCATTCTTTTGGTCATTTGACACGAGAAGGTAAAATTTCAATACCCAACTCCATAAAAAATAAAACAAATATTTGAAAGGACTATGAGGGCAAGTCAAAAATGCCACAAGATAATAAAAGCAGGTCACAATTCACGTTACTTAGTGTAACATTTCCATTTTGAGAACATTAACACAGCCCAGTCTGAGAGTTTCTTCGTCTGAAAGTTTTATAGTAAAGAAAAGAAGTTTCATCTTGAAGTCAGAGATGGCAATGCACCTCAACATACATTCTCTCTCTCCTAACAATAGGTAGTGAGGTAAATTTCTATCGCAAACTTTAGCACGTCTTCTTTCTTTAAAATAATAGCCCAAAGCATAACAAGTATTGGATATAACAAGAAATGATTGAATTTGTAAGATCTTGTTAGATTCTAGGAGCACAACACTATTATCCTGCCTTCTGACTCTCTTATAATTACATGATTGAAACAATTCACAATTCACTATAGCTCTTTCATATAAAGAGTATTCTTCACTTCGGTCAAATGCTACATCTGATCGCACCAGTGCATGCCTATGTTCTTCAGACAAAGTTATCCTTTTAGGTTCACCTAATAAAGCTACAGGCCCTAGAACAAGGTGAGGCTCAGCAAAGCCTTTGCTACTAGACATCATGGTAGTTAGGTATTCTTTCTCAGGATCACTCATGTGTGACTCTAAATCAGCTCTCATATTTTGTAAAGCAATTCGTAATTGCATATGTTTAGTTATTTGATGAGCTACACCATTACTGCTTTTGACCGAATCTTTTAATTCACCATTAAAGCTTTCAAATAAAAACGCTGAATGCGTCCAAGGCTGAGCAAAATTAACCACACTATTTTCCAAGTGAGTCAACAGATGCACACTGAATGTGACATGAACTGCCCCATACAATAAATCTATTTCTTCATTAAATTGTTTAAAATAACGGCCTGCATAGTAGACCTCAGACTTTGCAACAGAGTTTTGCATCAACAATGATCACAATATGATCAATAAAAAAAAAAAAACGTTTTGGGCTAGTAGTGGAAGTTAATCTCGCGCGTAAAGGCACTGGGGCCATGCCGTGCCATGGGGATCAAGCCACCCTGTGCCATTCTCTTTTCACCCTCCGACCTCCAACTCCCTACCAATGCCGCTCGTTCATGGGCGCAGGCCGACTAAAGGGGACTCACTGCTTGAGTCCCATCAGTCAAGGTCCATAGCTTGCTGGTTGTGACGCTCCTCATAT